GAATAACTAGGATAGGTCAAGGAAGGGGAAGAAGGGAGAGGAAGTAGGATAGGGTCACACTTGGAACCTGGCTTCACCCTGCTGCTTCCAGGGAGCTCTGGAGAACAGACTGCATCAAAGTTTGTTTCCACCTAAGCAAGGGGCTAGCCCCAGCCACTGGCTGGAATATACCTGGGAAGGGACTAGGGATGTCCTTCAGGTCAAGGGTTATGGTTAGGCAGAGAACATTTCTCCAGAGATGAAAACACCGCTGATTTGTTAACAACTATCTAACACACTGCCACAGAGAGCAGTGGAGCACTAGAGCCTGCTGATTCACATGTCAGATTCTGACATTTCTTGGTTATTACCTTAACACAGTAAGTACAAATGCCAAACCTACAAATGTGGACAAACTAGGGCATTGTCTTCTTTTAGGAAATGACTACTGTTAGTGCATCATTTCACATAAATACCCAATTTCTCAGTATGTTATTGGAAGTTTCCTTGATCACGAATGTCACCATATTTATTGACAGGCTCCTGGTCTTTTAGATGACCTAGAACATAACAAGTATAGCCATTAGTGCGTACTGATCTTTCATGTACAATAGAAAAAGATACACCGTTTAGTAGACAGAGATAGCGGCTATACATACTGGTAAGCAGAGAATGTGTATGTGTGTGTCTGTATGTGTGTTTAATTGCTGCTTTCTCTCCTGGTCAATGTAGCCAAGACCAATCCTATGATCTTGATACTTGAAAACATTTACATCTTTGTTTCCTGATACATCCACAATGTTTATTTTTAAAAGTCATATCTGGACTGGAACTGGAACTTAGTTGGTAGAGTGCTTACTTAGCATGCATGAAACACTGGGTTCAGTCCTCAGCATCACATAATTATGCCTTGTGGCACGTGCCTGTAATCCTGACACTCTGGAGTTAGAGACAAGAGGATCAAAAGTTCACGGTCATCTTCAACTACATAGGAAACTAGAGACCAGCTTAGAAACTACATGTGACCGTGTCTCAAAAATTAGATAAATAAGAATAAATTTTAAAATATCAGGGTTGGAGAGATGGCTCAGTGGTTAAGACCACTGCTGCTCTTACAGAGGACCAGAATTCAGTTCCCAGCTCCCACATAGCAGATAACAACCATCCATATCTCCAGTTCTAGGGGATCTGACACCCTCTTCTGGGCTCCATGCTAGAGTCCATGGGCATTGCATAACACAGTGCACTTACATGTGCCAAAGCACTCATATACACTAAATAATTTTTTTGATTAAAATTAAATAAAAATAACACATCTTTATTACCTTTTGAAAGAACTGCTCTAGAATCCCAAACTAAATAAACTTCCATGATAAAAATGAGTAATTCATTTAGAGCCATCAGGGCTATATTATCTTGTATAGATTTCTAGGTTCTTTGTATATAGTATCTCCTGGAAAAATATAATAATTGAATCTAAGGTCCAAATAGCTTTTTGTTTTGTTTGTTTCTTTATATACAACTGGGATTTGTGTTTGTCAGAGAAGTGCAGAAGATAAAGAGTATAGTGTCACCTCTGGGCAAATACGTTCAGTGCATTTTTCAGAAACCCTGTCCCTTTTCTCTGAGAATTGGAAGAAAGTGCTTTAAAATTTTAGTTAAGCCAAAAGTCTTAGTATTTCTATTCTTTTAGAATAAAAAAATAAGCATTTCCCTTAGGTCTTCTTTTAGCATGTTAATAAAGATTTTTATCTTTAGAGACATATGATTCTAGTTCATTACAATATTTTGCATTAAAAAGAATGTCTTTTTTTTTAATCTTGTCATTTTATTTTTTGGGAATATTTTTATTATTCCAAAGAGAGGCAATTTTTGACACATTTTTCCAGAAATAACTTGAAGCAGGTTACATAAAAATATATACACAATGAAGTCTAAGAGTGGAAAAGTAGGGGCTGGAGAGATGGCTCAGCGGTTAAGGGCACTGACTGCTCTTGCAGAGAACCCGGGTTCAATTCCCAGCACCCATATGGCAACTACAAACCGTCCTTAACTCCAGTTCCCGGGGGAATCCGAAGCCCTCTTCTGACCTCCATGGCATTGCACAACACGGGTGCACTCACATGCATGCAGACAGTACACGTAGAATAAAAATAATAAAATATTTTTTAAAAAAGACTGGAAAAGTAGGGATAAGAAATCAAAGACTAAAGCTGGGACTGGTGACACACATCCTCAATCCCAGCAGTTGGGAAGCAGGGCCTGCAGACCTCTGTGAGCTCAAGGCCAGCCCAGTCCACCCAGCAAATCCAGGCCTTCTAGGGTAACAGGGAGACCCTGTCCCAAAAAGACCTAAACAGAATCAAAGACCAAAGGATTTGCCAACATGGGGTTAACTTTGGTGAGATAATAAAGGTTTTCATTAGTTCTGTTTTTGTTTTGGTTTTTTTTGGTTTTTTTTAAGCTCTGTTCTGTTTTTTTTTCTTTTTTCTTTTTGCAAATCCTAACTAGTTTATTGGGCTTGCTAACAGAGCATAGGATGGGGAGGTTATTTACAGAAGAATGGGCACCCCCAGTTTACAGCTGCACTGGAAAGTCAGCATTCAAATACAGATCCTGTAACTTCCCAATAGCCACACAAAATGGTGAGAGAGGTGCCTCCTGGTATTCTGGGCTTATATAGCCTTATCTACCTCCCTGCCCCCCATATGCAGCTAAAGTTGACTGATTCGGTGGGAGGGGTAACTCTTCCTCCTCAACTCCTTGATGAACTGGGAAGGAGATGTGACTGTAGCTTGGAGGCATAGTTGTCAGAGGACACTTCCAGATAACACTCTACCCCTTCCTCTGGCTCTTACATTCTTTCTGCCAACTTCTTTCACAAAAGTCCCTGAGCTTTGGAGGGGGTGGTAGGTGTGGGATGATTGTCCTCCCGTTGTGGCAAGACATTGAACTTTCTGGTCTCTGTCTTGTCAGCTTTCCATGTGCTGTTGGCCCATTTCAGTGGGATTCCATCTACACCATATGGAGGCCCGATCCAGGTGCTTTCAGGCGGTCTCCCAAGTTCTCAGTCTTTATGCCAGATGGAGGCCAGAATAGGCACTTTCAGGCTGTTTGCATTTCCCTTAAGTCTACTCTTTTAGCATGTTAATAAAGATTTTTTTTTAATCTTTAGTGATTTATATGGTTCTAGTTCATTAGAATATTTTTCATTAAAAGCATTTTTTTAAATGATTTATTTAATAACAACATACTTAGAAGAAGCATAT